CCCTAAATCCAACCCAAGGGGCATCAAAGGTAAGGTTAATTACCAAAACTTATCATAACTAAATTTAGGGGAACTTTCGCTGATTGGATGCGATTTTGGAATCAATAAGAAGCCGAAATTGTCAATTCTGACGTAAGCCCTGTCATGAAGTTCTCATATCTGAAAGAGTTAGTGATACCATCTGTGCGTGCGAACGTTGATGCTTTACCCCTTCACGTGACGGTTATGAGAGAGCAAAACAAATTCTGAAATCTAAATATGGCAAACCAAATGAGGTTGTGAATGCTTATGTACAGAACATCATGTCCCTTCCCCATATCCGCGGTACAAATCCGAACAAATTTCATGACTTTTATGCAAAGTTATCTTCAAGTGCGCAGGCGATGGAGGCACTGGGGAAAATGAAAACAGTTTCTGGCTATACTTGACTTACATTAGACAAACTTGAGGGAATCCGAGCAGACCGTAGTGAGAACAGACGACGACTGGCAAGATTGGGGGTTTACACAGTTACTGGAACAATTGAAGAAGTGGATGGACAGAAGTCCAAAAATGTGGACGACGTCGTCACACATCAATATCTGATTCCAGTGGCAAGTTACCAGGTGCGGGACAGAAAGAAGGCGAACCAATTCTCGCAGCAACAGGGACGGGGAAAGTTGTGTACCCAGTAGTGGTATAGTTCGATTCAATGGCATCAAATGTCGGGTCCTACTTGACACAGGGGCTGGCAGTTCTTACGCATCATTAGTGTTGCTACAAAAGATTAACAGCCGACCTATTAGAAGAGAGAACAAGCGAATCGAAATGATGATGGAGACCTGCAACAAAGAAAACCCACAAAGTAACCATCAGTAGTTTAGAAAATTATTTCAAGATTAACACCGAAGTAACAAATGTTGATCGAGACAAGTTGTTGACACTGGAAAACCCACAATATCAAGGAAAGATTAACCAATACCCTCATTTACAAGGGGTTTCAATGAACGATGATGATACAAAGCGAGAGCTACCCGTTCATATCATCTTGGGAGCAAGTGAATATGCACAAGCGAAAGAGTTCTATTCACCACACAAACATGTTGTTCGTGAGTCAGCTGAAAGCACGAAAGTCCGTATAGTATTTGATGCAAGTGCCCGAGAAAACGAAAGTTCGCCATCGCTTAACGAATGTTTGCAAACTGGCCACCCTTACAAAATCTGTTGTGGAACGTGCTGGTAAGAAACATATTCTCTCCCGTGGCAATTACAGGCGACATTATGAAGGCATTCCTTCAAGTCCGAATCAAAGAATGTGAGCGAGACGCCATGCGATTTAATTGGTACACAGATATCCAGACAAGAGTAATTGAAGTGCTCAGATTTACCCGTGTTCTTTTCGGACTAGCTCCATCACCATTCCTTTTGGAGGGAGTCATTAAACAACACCTCAAAAACTGTCGCGAACGATATCCACACGAGACAGACGAGATACTCAAAAGCTTATATGTTCACGAGCTGATCGGTGGAGGAACAACAGCGGCTGAAGCGCAGAATTTGAAGGAAGCAGCAACATTCGTATTCCAGGAAGCAAAGTTCCAGCTGCGCAAGTGGCATTCTAATGAAGCTTCACTCGCAACGGAGAACGAGCCGTCGGAGCCAATAAGAGAGGAGCAGAGCTATGCGAGATCACAATTTGGAGTGAAAGCAGGAGAGACGAAGTTGCTTGGTTTACCATGGAACAAAGCAGATGAAAAGATTGCGGTTCGGTTTCAAAAGAGCGAAGTTTCAACACCAACAAATTTAAGCGTGAAGTGTTAAGTAACTTTGCAAAGATATACGATCCTCTCGGTGTGGTATCTCCAACGTCTCTGATCGGCAAGCTGTTATACAGAGAAATATGCGACTGGAAAATTCCATAGGATAAGGAACTTCCTCCAGATCTAGTTGCCAAATGGACCTTGTGGCAGAACGTGTTACCTGACGAAGTAGAGTTCCCGAGAAGTTTGGTTAACCATCAAGAAGAGATTAGTGATATTAAACTACACGTATTTGGAGATGCTAGCGGCAAATGTGTCTCTGCAGTAGTGTTCGCAGTCGTTGAACGACCGTCTGGCGTTAGTCAAGGCCTGGTGGCGGCAAAATCGCAGTTGGCAAAGCAACAACTAACTATTCCGAGACAAGAGTTGGTCTCTGCCCACATGGCGTGTAACTTGGTGCACAACGTGAAGCAAGCGTTAGAATGATTTCCAGTGAGTGACGTGCATGGTTGGTTCGACTGCACAGTAGCCTTACATTGGTTGAAAGGAGGTGGTGACTACAGACAGTTTGTTCGAAATCGGGTACAAAAGATCATGCAGAAGGCGTACATCCGTTGGCGATATGTGAATACCAAAGAAAACCCGGCGGATTTTGGCAGTCGAGGAGGCAGTGTAAACGAATCAGCGCAGCTGTGGCTAAAGGGTCCAGAGTGGCTGTCCAAAGAAGAAAGTTGGCCTAGCGACATCACCACCACCCCCAACAGATGAATCATGCACCGAGTTGAAGTCAATCAAAGAAACAATACTGAAGTTTTGGATCCTGAAAACTCAAAACGAAAGAACGAACCAAGACCGTGCAAGACTTAACCTACAAGAGAACAAAGAAGGCGTACTTGAATATCGCGGCAGAATTCAAGGTGATTTCCTATATACTTACCCGATACAAGTCTATTCAGCGAGAAATTCGTGGCAGACACTCACTAGAAAATGTTGCATGGGGGAGTCGGTTACACCATGGCAAAGATACGGGACAAGTATTGGATACATCGGTTTGAGGTGCAAACGATTCCAAGTTAAACCATTACCAAACCCACCTGTCGGAAACCTGCCGAAAGACAGAACCATGGGAGAAATACCGTTCCAGACGATTGGCCTAGATTATGCTGGTCCGATCAAATATATGGACATAAGAAATCCAAAAAGAAAACTTACATACTGTTGTATTCCTGCAGTTTGACTAGAGCTGTGTATCTGGACTTGCTACTCGATCTTACCACAGAAGAGTTCCTTCGAAGATTTAAACGCCTAGTAGCCAGAAGAGGACGACCGAGAAAGGTATATTCAGTTAATGGAAAAACATTTGTGGCAGCTTCGAAATGGGAGAATTGCAAAATTGGCTTGCGCGAAATGAAATCAAGTGGCAGTTCAACGGAAGCCGCGCCCCTTGGTGGGGCGGCAAATTTGAACGAATGGTCTGCCTTGACAAACAAGCCTTTTACAAGACGTTTGGACATGGTAATCTCAAGTGGAACGAGCTGGAGGAGATAATATTACATCGATGTTGAAACCGCTTTAAACTCCCGACCGTTATGCTACGTTGAAATTGACATTCAACTACGTTTGTTAACCCCAAACTTCATGTTATTTGGTCAACCTAACTTAATTTCACAACGAGATACCAACGCGATTGCAGATCGGCACCTACGCAAACGAGCTAAATACCTGCGCAAGTGTGAGGATGCCCTCTGTACTAGATTGTCAACTGAGTACATCAAATCCCTGAGAGAACGTCATAAACTGAAACATGACCGTAAAGAAATGGCGCTGAAACCTGGAGATGTCGTAATGATCAAATGTGAAGAAAAGAACAGAGGTGTATGGAGAGAGTAATTGGTATGGTAGAGAAATTAATGCAGAAACTGCACGAGAACTATTCAACAAACATTGCAGCAGAATAACTTCAAGACGAGGAGTACTTCTAACGAAAACATTCGATAGTATTGAGGAACTTTAAACTGATAAACTTAGATTCTTATTAATATATTGTTTTTGTTGTAATATTTGCAAACTTACGTTGCAAATAGGGGGAGAGTGTCGAGATTTATCGACATAATTGTAATCGGGAGATCCTCGGAATATGCCGAGTATAGGACGAGCACTAAGCGAGACTGGTTCTTCAAAACAAGCATGCAAGAACTGTATCTTTTATATAGAATTTATAAAATCATCAAAGCTAATGTGTGAAGAGGTTGTTGTGTGAGCTAAATTCGCAACATTATAAAACCCATTGCAAGAAATACTATACGACTTTCTGTATTTATTCACCTAATATTTTCTCGCGCCAACAAGAACAATGTAAAAATCAAGATTTTCCTACTACCTGCAGGTAGAACGGTCAAAACATTCTTTCCAAAAGTAAATCTTTAACTGTTATCTCTTGCTCGTTTTTGACAATCAGTTCGCGTTTCGACTCTCGAAAAGCTTTCAGTTTTACAACAGCTAAGCGAACGCATCATTAAACGTATGTTTACATATTAAATCGTGTTCACTTTTGATGACAGCTGCTCAGAGTCGCAGCCAATCATCAATTCCAGTCCACTGGTGGACGGAGAATTCGATTACACAGCCAAACCCAGCAAGCGGTCTTTCCCAGGCTTCCCCGATTTTAGGGACCGCCTGCCATGCAGGCTGTATCTGACAAGGAGCTGAAATTTTCTATTTATCGCTTCTTTGTAGATAGCTAGAAATTTTCTGCACAGCTTCGTTTTGTATCAGGACCACAATATCATCTTTCAAGAAATAATTTATTCCTCATCAACTGTGCAGTAAAAAGGCAAGAAATCCTCCGAAATTTATTGTTTTCTTAGTGTTTGAAAAATTAAACTAATAGTCGTTTACAAACTGCCAGCCGCGGATTTCGAATTCTTGTTCTGCTGTTTGTCTTATGGATTAGAATAGGTACGTTGTCTGGTTTTGCTTAGGATCTAACAAACGCGGAAACGTGATTATATAACGGAACCCAGCTGAAACTTGCGGTTGTTTTTCAATATATATTGCTGATTTATACATTGACACCGCATTTTAATTAAATAATTTAATTTAGGGTATATTATAAAATCGCCGCGCTCGAAAGCGCGCTCGAAATATTTGATGTTTGCAGTTATGACTCTTATAGCTTAGTAAATAATGAAAAAATGTGTATAAATGTGATTTGACATTTAAATTTCCGGTTAGACTGTCTTCTTTCAGGACTGTTCCAATTTATTTTCTACATTTACAGCTCTTCGCAAATTCTTCTAGAGGCTCAAGAAAGGATTTCTTTCTAGCTTGTGATCCTTGAATGTTGGATCCTAACTCACTGGAAACAGTTTTCAGCTGTACAATTTTCAGATTTTGTAATTTACCAGCAAGTGAAAGGTCGCAAATGTTTATTTCGCCAACCTGGATGGGATGTTCTTGTCTCATTTGGCTGTAAATAGCGTCCCGCAAATCTTGGAGTGTAGCCTCTGTTTCCCAAGCCTCCATATCTTCTTCCGTCAACTCTTGCTCTTTTTCCTCTTCCTCTCCTACAACACCGATTTGTTGCCGACGCAGGGTTGCACTGTACCTTGAGAAAAAGCTCTTGATCTGTTGAGCCGTTTTCCATTCGTCAGGCTGGAAGAATAGCTTACCATTTCCATCTTTCTTGAACTTCATCTCCCTGGAGACTGTTCGAGGATCGGCTTTATTACCACTGGTTTCTCCGGCTTGAAACTTCTCAATCAAGTATCCTTTAACATTTTTTCCAAATCGCGGCCTCCTTTTGGTTGTTTTCAGGGCCCACCCCATGCTGCGAACTCCATCAGACACTCTGGATTCCCCAGCTTAAACTTGCGTGAAAACACTAGGTGTTGGTTTGGCAACTGTGCTAATCCCAGTTACTCTTTCGGCCCATTTTCTTCGGATTTCATCGTACAGAGAAACAGACTCTAATTCTCGGATATGCTTGGCAGTATCCATATGCGCTTGTATCTCTCGTTCTGACCTAAATGTTAAGATGCAAGTGGACTCGCTACATGAAAAGATTTCTGCCTGTGCAGTTTTAGACGCTTTGCCAATGGCGCCACGTTCTTTTTGACGAGGTCCAAATGGTTTAACAACTTTCAAACTTGCAACATTCTGCGGTTGAAATTGATGATCTTTGTAGGTTAGTAATTTACCTTTTCCAGTTTCGTAGGCTTTCCATACTCGAATGCCACTAGTTTCGTACTGAAAATTATAGAGTAGACTTATGTCTGGTATTTTGTTGCCTTCATAGAGATCTTGTGATGAGTCGACTTCAACTACTGCAGCTCTACATCTTTTCAATCCTCCATGATATTCTAACGCCACTTTCATGTCCTCTGCTGAAACAACATCGTGATTTTCATTGACAAATATTCGGATATGAGCCTTCATCGGAGCGATTTTTCGGTCGCAGATGTCCTTACCTGATTGGCGTTCGGAGAAGTCGTAGCGAGCAACAGTTATACCAGTTGTTTTGCCAATCTCTGGGAGGCACAGCAGCAATGGGCCATTGTGGTAACATCCTGCATTATCTGATCGTATATACGCTTTATGGATGAGTGGATACTCTGCTTTGATTGAGCGGAAAAGATGTTCAAAGATGGATGCAATTGTATAGTTGTTTTGAGTACAGGAATTGAAAATATGCACGAAGCACTCAACTTCGTAGTTACCAGCATTCATAATTTCATAGTAACTACTGCACTGGCATGCCAACTAAGTCCGCGTTTTCCAAATAATTCGCTCATATTCTCTCGATATTTTAAAGGCAGGAATTTCATTGCCCAATCACATATAATTAAGCAAGTTTCTTGGTCCAGTTTATTCAGAGTCTCTTGCTTTGCTTCGTCCTGCATAATAGTTTGCAAATATTGCAAACAACGAAACGCTAGCTAATAATTTTTTTACTTTTATTATATGTTTGGTTTTAAAGGTAAATGCTGGGCTCTGCTTTTTATTTTTATACTAAGCTTTCCTCCAGGTATATCAACTGGCAACGTTTGTGTTTATTACTGATGTCAGCAAAAACTTGCAAAACTTTCTTCATGTTGATTTTATTTTTAGGCATACAAAAGTGTAGCTAGGGTTCCTGTGTCTGTGGTATATTTATTTACTTGTATTTCACGTTTTAATGCCACAATTCCCTAAAAAGATCCGTGACCTCCGTTTTTTAACTGATAATTTATTTCTTTAATGCATTCTATATTTCATATCCGAAATTAAAAGAAAAATCATTTCTGGATCTTGAAAAAAAATTGTTTATCACAATTCGGGCGTTGTGAAAACCCGGAATGCCGGTGTCCCAGGATTTTGAATTCATACTGATCTCAAATGATTAAAGCCATGTAATAATTATTCCATGCAACTGTTAGGAAGGGCGGAATTTTGAACGGAGGACAAAAATCCTAAAGAAAAGGTCAAGTTTGTAAAGGGGTCGAATTTCCTAAAAGGGGACGAATTTCCTAGGATTTTCGCCCCGAGGGGGGAGGGGCAAATTTCCTAGGAATTTCACCCCCCTGGGGGCGAAATTTTGGGGGGCAAAAATCCTGGAACACCGGCATTCCGGGTTTTCACAACGCCCGAATTATGAAAGCATAAACATTCAGAAATTATTAAACGTATATCTAATACGTTTCTGTATTATGGCAACGATAAACATTTTGCTTTTAATAATATGACAGTATTTGCATGAAATAAATGTAAAGCCAAATTTATTAGTCTCTATAAACAATTCAAAACCGCAATATTTTATATTTTGACCGACTGGATGCATTAATGTTCTAATTTTGATACAGGAATCTTTCTCATTCATTGCTGTTTGTTTTGATGAACAGGATGACTTTTGAATACATTTGGATATCTCAAGAATGAAAAGAAATCCATTCCGTGTAAGAACACGGATGCTCGTTGATATTTTAAGCACTATTCTGTAATTTTTGAGTTTGTAACAGGTGGACGCGAGTCAAAGGGGGGTTTTTCAAAATTATAAGGCATGACAGCAGGCGTTTATTTTCTTTGGGGATCTCCTATAAATGTTTGTTCACAGGCTAACCACAGGCGGAAAAAACAACTGCAACTCTTCTTCCCTAGTGCAACAATGATGCCAGGGGCCCAGGACAACCCATGACGTCATTAAATTTTCCAAGGGGCTTCTGAGATATCATAATTGTGTAACTATTGTTAAATTGTTTAACAATATATTTTGCTTGGTTGCATATTATCCAGCACTGTGGATCTATATTCTATAGCTCTTCTTTCAGAAGTTTTAAAAGGACACGTACACTATGTCGTTGCAGGGAGTCACTCATCTTACATAAGTATATCCTACCCCTGACGGACAGTAAAAGCTTAAATCAATGACATAGAGCGAGAAGCATGCAATGCTTTTATAATTTAATAATTTCAGATTCTTCGAGAAAGGGCAGGCGCGCAACTCTTGTTCATAGAAACTAACGCTATATTTTGTAGCAAAATATTTCTAAACTACACATTTATAACAAGCAAAATATTTTCTAACTACCCATTCAACTTTTCGACATATACAATTTCCTACTCCCTATGATTAATCACATGCTAATATTCTTTTAAATCTTTCTTTAACAATGCTGTGATTGCCAACAAAATTCTGAAATAACTCCAACAAAGTATTAAGGAAATTTGCTCACTTAATATATATATATATATATATTTTGAAATATATATATATATATATATATATATATATATATATATATATATATATATATATATATATATATATATATATATATTGAAAATAAAATAGAGAAGATCGTCCTTTTAGCCATTGTTGCTTACTTAAACTTTATAATAGTCCGTTTTGTTCTTTTCATTTCTTTTGGTAACAAATCACCTCCATGCATTTGTCCATAAATAACGTACATTTCACGTTTGTATTACTTCGTACGCACTCCTTCAAAACAGCCATATTGCCAGAATATTAACTTCTATTTAACCGAGCGCGAGGTCTTCGCAGAGAAATATCGGACCGAGGTGTTTTTTCTACGTACCGACCCTTAGGGCGAGGTTTGTACAAAAAGACCAAGGTCCGATATAGTCTAGGACCTGCATATGAGTTTGTATGCATTTCATTTAGGACAGATAATCTCAACTGTTTTAGGGCAAGTTGACCATGACGGTCAACATGGTAACGCTGCCCGAACCCCAATCCGGGACGAAACGTCCGAAACTGACCACACCCAAAACGACGCTTTCGCCATACTGCTATCTACCAAACCATAAAAGCTTTGGCTATTCTGAGATGCTTACATGGTTCAGAGATGGTACTATTGGGGGTGGTCATTGGTAAGTGTGAAATGCCTAGCACTGATATTTCACAAGAAAATGGCCATGCAATAATCA